GAAAACAATTAATGAATTAATTAATCTTTGATTAATGTGTGGCAACTCTTAAACACTTGTGTTTACAGACACTTTCTATTCAGTAAAGAATGCCTAGTAAAAAGTTCTGTCTCTATATAAAACATCAAGAGAAAGGTTACCCAGAGGCTCTGCAGGTGGAACAGAAATGCAATACACTTTCTGCAAAATTTATAATTTTAGACTTCTTTGCTTTAGTCTGCCACATAAATCACTTTCAAAAACAATAAAATTGGGGTTGTATCATGAGGAAAAAAATGTCAAGTTATAAAGCATGATATTCTCTTTAATATTCACATTTCACTTATTTGACTGTAAACAATGCTAACATCAGGTTTACTCAATTCAATTTAATTAGATTCAATAAATTCAACTCAATTTAATGCGATTTGATTCAATTATATTCAATTGTATTCAAATCAATTTAATTCAATGTATCCGAAAGGAAAATTCAAGGTTTTAGTGACTTTAGTGGTCAGTTTTTTTTTTTTTTAACAAGTTTAGATACAATCAATGGCTGTAGGTAAGAATGATGTTTTGATGCTTTTAATATGTGGACATTTTGGGGTTATGAGAAAGCACATTTTCTTATTCCTAGATGTAAAAGGGGGAAGCTGGAATCAAACATATACTCTTTGGTTTGGAGGCTGACCTCTCTATTCATTGAACCACAATTACCCAAAAGAAGCTGGTCTGTCCTATCTAGATCACTGATTCATAAATAACTGTCATAATATCACATAACAAATGCCACTGCTTGCCCTTGGCAAAAAGGAAAGATGGCTCAGCAATAACTGAATTAGTTGAAGTGGTCAGCGGCTAAAAGGATAATGGACTCATATTTCTCTTCTAATCAAGTTTAACTGTTGTTAACTAGAAAATGATTGCATTTCCAAAGGGCATTGTTAGATAGTGTGAAAATAATAATAAGTAGAAGCACCAATAGATTTGCATTTCATGTGAAACACTGCTAAAGACCTGCCAGAGAGAATTTGAAATGTGGAAGCAGTCATGGTTTTGTCACCTGGTTTTGGAAAGATCTATAAAGTTAGGGTCATAAACACTTCACAGAGAAAAATGGCTTGTACAAATTAGGCTACATAAGCAGCTCTGACTGCTTGTGCAATAATAATGCTGCCTTGCATTTATCCTAAATTGATCTGAGTGCCAGCTCCTACATCAGCGGCAGCCTAAGATCCACTGATGATCAAGTATATCAGCACCTAGAACTAAATACAGCCATGATCACTTCATGTTAGTGAACTAATCTCTAGCTAACAGATAAACTGCTGATTAGAAGTTGCTTATAATAATTTGACAAATTCAGCTTAAAGGCAAGATAAGCAAAAGACAGAAAGTTATTGCAGTTCTCACTCTATTAAAGATAGGTTCTTTAGACAGCTGCCATGTTAAATTGCTCTGTGTTTTTTGTCTATCTTTAGTTAATTGAGGAAAAAAAATCACATCCTCATCTTCAAATAAACTCAAATATTTAGTTCAGGAAACAAATATCTAATGATAAAACACAACTCTAATGACAATTATGTAGCAGAGCTGATGTACACAGCAGTTTCCTAAAGTGCCTCCAAAAAAGTATTCAAAGTTTACTTTGGGGTGGTTTATATACCAACAAAAAGTAGGGAAGTTAGAGTTCAAGGATTAAAAAATAATTAAAAACACAAAATCAGTGTTGACTATGTAAGTATTAGGTCACTTGTCTGTACAGACATATAAACTTGAATGCCCCCTCTGCAACTACCACATCTCATACTATTCATAGAATGTTGAGAAGCCTGCCTAGGAGCTCCTACTCATCTATTATAAGCCAATTCTTAAATACCAGGCACTGATGTTAGATTGGGTGTTTAGTTGGAGTCAAGACTCTGCAAGCCAATGAAGTTCCTACACACAAGCCTCCTTACCAGAGATGGCAAAAGTACTCACTTTCCGTACTTGAGTAAAAGTACAGATACTTGTGTTAAAAAATACTCTGGTAAAAGTGGAAGTACTGATTAAACTTCTTTACTCAAGTAAAAGTAACAAAGTACAGGCTTGTAAATTTACTTAAAGTATAAAAGTAAAAGTAGAAACCACTTTTTTCATGCCGTTGCCTACATTTTAAATGGATGTCTGCCAATAGGACTAGATCTCCGTTGTGTTCATTTTCAATCATCTCGTCGTCCATGCTACTATGCTAACGCCACCGCCACCAAGCTGCAATGATTTGCCGCCAATGAATACCGCCGAATCTGTCGATTCATCTTGTAGTGGTGCGTCAAATGTAACGTAGATTCCCATCCAATTAGATTGAATTTGGTATTGATGACGTGAAAAATAATAACAGTAACTCCATTGAAATGATTCAAAACTAAAGTAACGAGCCAATTTTTTAAAATGTAAGGAGTAGAAAGTACAGATATTTGTGTAAAAATGTAAGGAGTAGAAGTAAAAAGTCGCCATAAAAATAAGTAGTAAAGTAAAGTAAAAATATCAGAAAAATCTACTTGAGTACAGTAACAAAGTATTTGTACTTCGTTACTTCCCATCTCTGCTCCTTACACGCAGCAGCCTTTACAAGGTTTGGGCTCTATGGTCATCTTGGAGAAAGAAAGCATCATCCTCAAACTGTTCCATCAAAGTTAGGAGAATGAAACTGTCTAAAATTGTCCTATAATTGGAAATACATGGCCAAGCTCCATACCATATTTTCCCCTGTGCCCAAATCTATGCTATTAAAGTGCACTGAGGCAAGTGCCCTTTTCCTGCCGATTGAAAAAGCCAGATTAATCCAATGATTTGCTTGATGCACAAGTGTGATTGGTTACCCAAAGGAATACATCTTCATGGCTGAGTACAGTGACTTCACACACAACTTCACTTGATGTTTTGCATCTGATGCAATTGTGAAAGGCATACTCCCAGTCAGTTATATGGCTCAGAAGACAAATTGCATGGGAATATTCATCCCATTCAGATCTCTGTGGTTATGCTTATCTAAATGCTTCATGCATTATGAGATCTGTTTGTATTGACTGCAGAAGGTACTTGAATTAACTAAGTGATGAAGTAATTCCTTTCACAAAAGTCTGTAGAAGTCATCTGTCTGATTAGGCACTTGAATTTGTGTACATGTGGCCATGGGGGTGATTTTAACGTAAATGCAATGGTTTAGATTAACTAGAAAAAAAAATTGGGAGGCCACAGAAGGTGTTCTGCACATATGAAACAAAAGTAAAATAAAATTTTGCCTACTTGCAAAACCCTAGGCATCTGATACTTAGAAGGTTAGTGAGTAGCGTATCTGTCAACAAAAGCTTTTTTGCGTTTGTGCCTTCATGAATAAGCATATCATATGCTCATGATCAAACCATGCAAAATACTGGGAGGAGGACAGGAAAGTGTATATACACCCTCCAAAGCATTTGATCAAACCTGAAACTGATTGTGAGCACAGTTTTTGCATCTATTTAGCAAATTGAACCCAGCCCACATTGAAACTTCTGCAGTCAATGTGTCAATGAGAATTTGTATGCATGTGAACATATTTGGACTGTCAGAAATAACAATAGCCCAACTCTAATTGTAGTGGGGAAAAAGAAAGAACTTTTTCTGTGCAAGCCTGAAATTACACATTGCTAACATGATACATGATTTCCCCCTTAATTATTAATTAATGTTAAATTAATTCTTTATTATCTAGATATGAAACACAGTTATACTGTATGAAAAATATTAGGGGGCCACCTTGGTTTTCAAAAACTGTGTCATGAGGATGTTTTCGGGGGCTGGTGGAAGTAATAACAGATCAGTTTAATTATACTTGAAATGTGGACTTTCGACAGAGATAGGGATAAAGTAAACCTTTACACTTTTTTGGACTGAACTTCAATCCCTTGACTTTGATTATTTATTCATTTCATTCTTTTTACCTTTGTTTGTAATACTTCTAAGAGTGAACTCTGTACATTATTGATCGTCATTATATAGGTATTTTGTGATGATTTTACTGACTGCTACCTCCATTTTTTTTAGATTCCTTAGTCGTATTTATGGTTTTTAATCTTGCAGCTGTTGTATAAGCCCTATAATCACTATATCACTCCCTCAGCCCATGAAGCTGGCTTGACCCTGTACAAGTCAGCTGATGCTAGACTTTAACTTACTCGCTCAGTGAGTCATGTCCGTAAGAGCTGGGGCCTGACTCCCACCCCTCTCATGGCTTTCACAAAACACATGGAAACATATAAAGGCAACTTAATCACATGCACAAATAGGCATACACAGCTGATCCAATGCTCGAAGGTCATGTTAGTACAGTAATGTGGCCTCTCTCCGTTCAGTATCGATTTAATCTGTATTTATTAAAGTCAGCCACGCAATTAGGTTTCGATCTTAAGATATCTTGTTGTTTTGTAGAGGAAAGTTGCCCATGTAGGATTCCAGCTCTTTTGAAATGCTAAAAGAGCTGGAAGACAAGAGATAGTTTAGCCTGAGAACATGGATGTTCATTGATTAACTCAGTCTATCAATTTGTTTCTAAAAAATATTGTTTCTTATATTTCCACTATTGTTTAGGTAAATAGAAACGTAAACCTTTCTCCATGGGATTCCCTCCATTGTGTATCTCTCATGAACGAAATCAGACTTAATGCCGTACACTCAGAATAAATCCATCATGTAAATAAACTTCTTTATTGCTTAAGACAGCTTATAAACACAGGTTAATTTACAAAGTTTCCTGACCACAATGAGGGGCTTTAGACTAAGTCTACACATCCCCAAATTGAGTTATGTGTCCATGTGAAAGAAGTGTATCATCCCCTGCTCCAGCATCCATACTGACATCGTGATTGTCCTTGTCGGATTAAGCAAATCAATCAGACTGAGTGGAAAAGAAGAGGGAGACCAAGAGGAGGAGAAGAAAGGGATCTCTGTTGGGGGGAGTCAGCTCCACCCATAATTAAGTTAGCCTGCTACGCTGCAGGTCCATGTTTACGACACAGACAAGGGAGTTTTCTTCACTCTGTAGACAACTCAGACAGAGAAGCTAGACCTCCAACTCCCCTCGTTCTCTCTTTCTCTCTGCAACTCACAATCCCTCACTCTGCCGCCACTCGCCACTGATTGACCTGCTGCCTGAAGAAGAGGTGGAGGGAAGAAGCAGCAGCTGCAGCAGCACCTGCCTGAGCCTCCATCCCCTCTTCCTGCCCGACCCCAGACCTGCTCTCTGCTGCATCGGCTCTAAACCTCGCTGCCAAAATGTGCGACTGTTTCCATCTGGCATTCCCCAACTGGCATGCTGCCTCCTCTGGGACTGGTAGGCTCTTAACTCCTTTACCTTGTTTTTATCCGACATGACATAGTCTCCTATAAGGAGTGAAGTGAGGGAGCAGCAGGGTTCAGTGGGAAGTGGGGGATATTGTTTGCCATGGAGGCAGATAATGCAGGATTCAGCTGGTGCTGATGCTGAGTTGAGATACTGACTTGCAGTAAGGGCTGGGTGTGTCTTCAGAGTGCAGTAGAGCGTCTGAGGATGTCGTCTTTAGAAGGTGTCTGCATTTCTCCTCTCTCCCTCCAGCAGAGCGTCTGGACCCCAGGCTAAAATACAAACACACTAAGTTACAGTTTAATTTCAAGAAATAAGAAATCAGGTAGGCAGCAAAATATCCGTCCCGGGATGAGAAAAACCACTGATGCCAAAAATAGAAACAGCTGTGAAGGGATCCAATGAAATCCTTATGTCGTCATTGTCGTGTTTTGTGCAACAACAGAAGAACATTTACAAGTTTGTATGCTCGATAAAAGATTCAAACTTCACATAGAGTAGGAGGTTTCAAGCTCGTAAACTTCAATCCTATTGTTTAGTTAACTCTGTTAATAAAATTTATAAATTTTTTGTATAAAGTCAGTTCTCATGGTGTTTTTGAGTTTCCTGGTTAAGCACACCTAAAAAAATTTACAAACATGAATACATCTAGAATCTAGATCTAGATCCTAGATATGATTCTAGATTCTAGAACATGCACCCCTAGATGGAGAAAAATATTGTCATAAGGACCCTTATTTTAAATAAACTTAATAAACTACTATACCCTAATCCAGTAGGATATGTGAAGAACAAGACCGCACAAAAGAATAAATCTTCACACTTAAGATTATCTTCATCTTGCAGTAAACTAACGTCGCCTCTGTAAGTTGTTGTTCTCTTTGGGACAAATAGAACTTCAAATAGTGAATCTATTAATCAGAAAATTATTGGATATTTACTTCCTGATCATCCAGTCAGAGCCAGTCAGGCTACAAAGTGTCCAACTTCACTAAGCAGAAGGCCTTTCTATCCATAATTTTGTGTTTTTTTTTCTCAAAAAGTTTTCAATTTTTTGTGGGAGATAAACTGTCTTCTTTTTACATGTAGATACAAATAGATCTTAAAAGGACAATACAGTTCAAACAAAGTCATGCAAATGACATCGTTACCATTACTAATAGCCGATCTAATACAGCTAGGGATGTTGGTTTAGAATTTTGTAAATTTTGGCTCACTAAAGGAAACATTAAATTTCAGCAAAAAGCCAAACGGAAATTTTGTGCATGAATACAACAAAAATAAAATGTATAAAGAAATCTAGAAGAAATATCTCAAGAAATATGAAGTAAAAGTCAAGGTCAAATGAAGGGCAATCATTAACAGATTAGTAAAAAAGAGAAATGTGAGAAGCAGAAGTAAAACAGCGATTGAGCTTCATGCAATCTCATATAACCAAAAAAAGCTTTGATGGAGTGAATATAAAATGATCAAAACAAAGTAATCTTGTTTGTTTGTTTTCCTTAATAGGCTTCTCTGTTTCATTTAGCCTAAGCTTGATTTATTCCTATGCATGAGCTTCAGAGTGCAGCCTTAAGACAACTCTGAATTATTAATTTATGCTTTCTGACCGGAAGTATGCTTACATCAGGATTGACTCTCTCTTATATAAAATACATTACCTTCAGCTGACATTTTTCACTGTTTTGATCAATACCATATGACTGTGTAGAGGAGCTGGCTGCCCCTCCACTAACCCAACACACAACCACATCATGTCAGAAAATTGACATTCAAGTATTGAGTGTGCATTTATTTTCATTTACAAAAGCTTTTTAATTTCATTTGGCATAAAGGAGAACAAAATGACATGTCAAAGAACAATAATTACCCAGAAGGCATTTTTTAAATGAATGTTGATATTCCCCTTTAGATAAATAAAAGGACTCCTCCTGAAATTTTGTCTAAAGAAAAAACTGAATGAACTCTGCCCCCTTGTGTCCAACATGAGAAACACATTTCAGAGGGAAAGACTCTTATACAAATAGTTAAAAGCTGTTTTTAGGAATATATTACAATAAACTATTTTAGTTTCCTGTATCTAAATAAAGGGAGTGGGAAGTAAATTTACTAAGTTTTCCAGATTAAAGAGTATAATGAAGCTGAAATTAAATCCACATCAAGGCTTTTTTTAAATCAATCTCTTAGATAAAGTTTATATTAAAGAAGATCTTAAATTTAAACTTAGATGGTTAGATAAATGGATAAAAGTCAATAAAAAATGTTTGACTGAAGGTTAAAGGTGATTTATTTATAGTTGAATGGTGCTTCGTTGGTCAGAATGGGAAACAGTGTTTTCTACAGTTCATCTAAATAATCTAAATAATCGTCTAAATAATTTTTGTCTACACTACTGATCTAACATATTTAAGCCTATATTTAGACATCTGATGACCCTAAGAGTCAAGCTGATGCATATAGTGGAAAAAAGGAAAATAAAATCATCATTAATAGCTTTATAGAGCAATTGGATTACAATATACATTTCATTATTATTAAAAGGTCCAGATAGGTTTTGCTAAATGAATGTAACACACCAATTATTTGCAGATCCTGCTGTAATCTGGTTTTATTTATTTTTTTCCTACTTGCTTTGATTCTGTTTTATTTTCCTGTATTTTAATCATGTAACACTTTGCATTGTCTTTGTACTGAATTGTGCTATACAAATACATTTGCCTTGCCTTGCCTTAGTTGTTTTTTGAGGGAGTTATATGCAACTTCTCAAACAAAACCCCACAGGACAGCCTTTCTTTTTAAAGAGAATATGGAGTGCTTGTATATTAGTGGTGGCCTATTAGTAAGAGCAGAGGGTTTGTGTCCTGTGAAGGCTTTAAGGTCTAAGTCTGCCACTCTGTGTTAGTGAGCAAGATTCTGTATAGCGTACAAAGCTGCAATGACAGATTAAGACAATTAAATAGATTAATACTGATTTAAAATGTCTAGCCTTGCTTCTTATAATGACTATGTATAACATTACACAGCCGAAGGCCTTGTCATGATTAGTCCTATTTAGTCTTTAAGGAAAAAAAGGCCCCAGAGATTCAGACTCAGATTGTTTTACAGCAGTTTATTTCCTCTGTGGGGTAGAGCAGAGATGTGACGCTCTGAATACTGGTACAATTGTTACAGGAATCCTTAAAGTTCTAGTTGAGTAATATTTAGCTCTTTCAATTTTTTTTTTTATCTAATCCTTTTTTTTATTTAAATACAACGATTCGCATTTTAGATACTAGACTGAACTGAAGTTGGACCAGGGAAGAGGTGTACAAGATGGAAAAGACCAGGCTTAGAGAGCTAAGTTTGGTTGCTTCTATCCAGCACAGTTACTTTGCTCATTTGTTTAGGCACCAGGATTTAGTTAAGTTAGCGTTCCAGAATCTAAGTTCTGTTTTGGGTGCTACTCTGGAGTCTCTGAAGCTGATTGTAAATGCAAATCTCTTCTATTGTCCCACAATGGGGAAATCCATTCTCTGCATTTGACCCTTCCCTCTGTGTGGTTCCTGGGGAGTAGTGTGGGGTAAAGGGTTTTGATCAGGTACTTGCAACCTTCTCAGTGCACAAGCGCACTGCTCTAACCCACTAGGCCAACACTGCCCAAAGAGGGATCCTTGATGAAATGATGAACTGGTTTTTGATTTAAACAAATCTTATCAGAAACAAATTCCTTTACTTTACATCATGCACCTGTGCCGAATAGGGTTTGCTTAAGTACTAGTGTGATGCTAGCATGTTTACACTCTGGTTTGATTTGCTAAATGTATCACTGGGGTCTGAGTTTTTTATTTTGCTAACAAAACTTAGAAAGCAAACTACTTACAATGCTGCATTAGCTGAGAGTTTCTCTTCCTTTGTCAACATTAATGTTAGAATGGACTGGATGATATGGCCTTAAAATCAATCTTATCATGATGGTTAGTGGTATTATCATGATTTCAACAATATAAAAAATCCCCACCTTGAATGTATGAAAACACTAAGCTGCACAGCGTAGGACTGCATTTTCTTTGTCTTAGAGACATTAAATTTGGTACAGTTGAAGACCTTTCCCAGCCTCCAAAATGTGATGTCATAGTTTTAAACAAAGAGCTAGTCGGCCATCTTGGACTTAATTTCAAATGTTGACTCTGATTTGTACATTAATAGCCACTATATTTGTTTAAACTACTCCCAGGGCTTTTGAAAAATCAACTTTCTCAGTTGGCTCAACGCATATGCGGACATAAAGTTATAAAATATATATATTATTTAAATTATATTAACAATAATAATGATATAAATAGTATTTTCTTTGCATGATGAAGGGGCAGAGCATGACTTCAAAGTTTGAAATCTCACCCAAATAATTAAATTTGTTTAACTTCTAGAGAGAAGACTGACCAAGAACCTCTTTGATTTATCCACATCTGTTCCCATACAAAAATCAGTGGTCATTGCTAACCCACCCCCGATCACACAAACTATCTCCACAAGGAATGCAGAATTAAAAGCCATGCACACTAACTGAGGCTGTGTGGGTCTCAGGGTCACTGTGTAGTAGGTGATATAAAGCCATGGACTGCACTGTGACAGAATAGAGGTCCATTTGGTTTGGCATCCCAAAGCCAATCATTAAATATAGTGAGTGCTTTAAATTTAAATTAAAAGACTCAGACTCTAAAACATATATATAAATTTTTAAGTAAGAACAGTCCACTAAAAGACGTATTAAAACAGCAACTATAAAAAATAGATGCATGTTTTATTCAAAATAAAAACTATTTTTCAGTACACATGCTTCATTCAGAGCTCCTCACGTGTAAAGATCAGTAGTAACTGTTTACATTTACCCGGTTAGACTAACTTCAGTAAAAAAAAAAAAAGCACACCAAAGTTTTTACATTTACTTAAATATTCTTGTGAATATAATCACTATTCCTTCTTGATTAATTTATTTCTTTAAAGTGAACTTT